CAAAGTTTGTGGCTCTGGGATGTGAAACATACTTATCCCGAAAGAACAGCCTGGAGTTTGCCAACCCACAGTTCCCAGACCTCCAAATCAATTAGCCTCCTTCATTACCGCTAAAGCATAAATGATTAATGCATGTTAACCAAGAAAGGCCCGTTTCTATGTACCTACAAAAGCTTTGTTTGTTTATGATAAAAAGCTTATTTTTCCAGGTGCTCATTTCTAATTTAGCTCTCCACTTCAACAGAGAAAAACTTTTCTCTTTAAAAAGAAATTCTTTGTAATGAGTTGTTTTACCGGCCCTGTATCCAGTGTAATTTTACAAAGTTTACTTAAAATTCACCAATTGATCAGAATTTTTCAGTTGGCATCAATGTCGTACCCTCCCTGGCCTTTTAGATATTCAAAGTTTTTCCATGTAAATAATTTTTCTCAAGAGGAAAAGTCGGTTTTGTCCAGTGACCTTTTCCATGGGGAAGTGAAAAAGTCAAGGTCTGGGGCCTTTTCCGCTGCCTCCATGCTGCAGCCCCACAGCAGGACCTCTGCTGCTTTACTGCATTGTAGCATTATCAGTTATTTCTCAAAAATCTAGGTATTCAAATTCCACTGGTCCTTCTACACCTTGTCAGATTCACCCACACCTTTTATCATGGCTTTAACACCAGCCCGAAGCTCCTTATTTCTTTGGCATAATTTCTGCCAACAAGTTCCTCTGTTATGGGGTTCTATGTCTCCTCTCACGTTCTGGCCACTTCAGGAGGCTTTAAAACCTTTTTCCTGGTGGTGTTTTCCTGAAGGAGGGAGAAGGTTTCCTGCCTTTTCCAGACTCTGGTCCTCTGCTTCCTTCCATGATGTCGAGGCCCTTCCCTGGTAGCAGTCGTGTCCTCCTTCCTGTCTAAAATGAGGGCACACCACAGGGGCAGGAGCAGCCTGGAAAAAATAAAAGGGCAGGAAATTGAGCCAAACGGGAAGTAGAGCAGCACTTGCAGTCACCGCCATGCTGGAGGAGGGACATGCATGAGGCGGCACCCGCCACCCCAGCCTTCCTCCGTCCCACGTGAGGCGGACGTTGTGGGAAGCTGCTCTGTAAGAAGGCACATGGGTCCCTCTGAAGGGCTGCATGACACAGTTGCATAAACCATTTTGTCAGCAGCCCGCCTTCCCCTTAGGTTGTCTCCGGGCACCAGTCCAGCTGCTGTTTTTGCAGATCGTTCTGCAACATTTGCCTGTAACATCAAGGTTGTTCTGCTGCTGCCGACTCAAGATGGCAGCCACAGCCTTCCTTCCAGGCTGGCCAGCTCCTAAAATGGCTTCCCTAGCACAGCATGAGGTGGCCAGTGGCATCACGTCAGCCAGCCCCTCTGCCTTCTTCTTTCACATTGGCCAAAGACCAGATTTTTCTCTGGACTCAGCTGGACTTTCTCTGTATCTTCTCCTGGCTCAGCATTGCCTCCCGCTTCCTGAGAAACCACAGTACATTCACATCCTTCTCTCCACCAGGTAGGTGGAGAGAAACAATCTAGGACTTAAACAGATTACATATATTTTAACATTATATTTCTATGGTAGGCAACAAAGATTTAGTTTAAATTCCAATACCCATCTTAGATCTCTAGTTTCTCCAGGGCTATCTTTGTTTCTGCCAGATTTTCAAGTGTGAAACTCAAACACTGGGGTCCACTTAATTTTTCCCAGATATTTCTCTACGATGGCGCGGCTTCTTGCACCATGTGTATCAAACACAATAACTCATCCTCAGTGGTGATTTTTAAGTAGTAAACTTTTTCAAGCCTTTTAGCAGAATCCAGACATTGCAGCATGCAGCCAAAACCCTCCCAACACGATGGGTTTTCCTAAACGATGACACAACAGCTGCAGGGACTCAATTTAACACCAAGGGCATGGAAAATCCTGGGAGCATGGTATTCAGAAGAAACCAAGAAACGAGGATTGAGTAGTTTTTGTTTCATATGCAGAAATGGTGATACTCCAATGCTGATTACATTTTCCAAAACTAAACACATTTGTACAACGAAATGAATGCAGTTAAATCTATTAGCAATGACCTACCAGAGAAAGGAGAGGAGAAGCTGGCACTTACCCACTTGGGCTTTTTTTCTTAAGCTTTCTGGTAACCACTCCTTTTTCAAAATGGTATTTTCTTACTGCTGTTAGTGACAATAAAGCCTCAGGCTACTTTCTTCAATAATGACATTATTCCCCGATGTCTTCTGCTTGCAGAGATGAAGTGGTTGCAATCCATACTGTCATTATCAGCTTTTTATCTTAATGCATACAAAGCAGTGCTGTTAGGAAACAGAACTATGGTTACTCAGCATGTAATTTAAGAAACTGTATAGAATAAGGAAAGACAAGCAACTGTGTAGTGTAGGAAAGACAGTAAAACCAGAAAGAGGATACAAGAGAATCAGAAAGAAGATGAAAGACACTAGAATGAGGAACATCTGACAAATCTATGTTACAACAGATGGAGGTGAGGTGAGATAAGAAGAATAGGTGAAGGAACAGCAGGCAGCACAGGCCCAAAAGATATCCAAAGAGAAATTTGGAGATGAAGGACATCGTATAAGGAAGAAAATGAACAGAGGAATGTTCAGGAGAATTGAAAACACAGGTGTAAAAAAGCACATTAAATAGAAAGGTGCTGAACCAACAAGCAGCTACATTAGGAGACAGGAGAGGATGAACACATGTTCTTGCTCTCTTAAGAGTCTTTTTATGTATCAGTTTAGAGTTGAGCTCCCTACCAACTTCAAATAAATTGGCTAGAGCTCCCTCCAAAGGCAAGTAGTAAAGAGATCTTAATATTATATAAGACAATTTTGTATGTGTTTGGGAATTATCACAAGGTACTTCAGCCTTACCTGAATTTACTATAGCATACACAGAGTGTGCATGGTCCTCTGAAAGCTTATTTCATACCAGCCTTTGTAGCAAAGACTGAAACCAAATGCAGCCAAACTGTCAGCAAAAATTGAAAGCAGGAAGGCAGACCAAGCAACAGAATACCTGAAATAGATTTTGAAGACGAGATAGAAACAAGGAAAGGAGACTGGAGAGATCTGTGGGGAACAGGATGGCCAGTACCTTCTTGTATGTCTGCTCCACACAAGTCCTGCACTTTTTTTTTGGTGGGGACCGCATCCCCTCGCAGAAACTCACATTACTTACAGGAAAAGCAGAGTAAGTAGTCATCTTAAGATGTTAATCCCTCCCTGTTCTCTGCTCTGTGCTTTCCTACAAATAGTATCAGCTCCTCAAGGCAAAAAGACAAACCCACCATGTCTTTTGTAGTATGTTCAGTTGCCTGCTCTCTCCTTCAGCAGGCACTAGAAAACAAAAGGAAAGTGGTACTAAAAGGGATTGCCCCAGGAAAACCAAGATTGTCATTTAGTTTATTTCTTTCCTGAATTTGTCTCTTAGCCCTAGAAAAGGGATGAAGAGAGCTGGAATAGTGATATTTCACACTCCTCCCTAATGAGGCATTTCACCCTCTCCTTTCTAAAAGGGGAGCAGAGTGTCCTTTGGAGCCACCACACACAACTGAATTTCATGTTTGCATTTGATGTGGCATGTGTAGTTTTCCCTAGAAAGTTTGAGCAGACACTTACCACAGATTACTACAGCATGAGTATGCAGATACGTTTTTACCTCAATATCAGGTGACATTGCATTATTAAAGTTAAATATCCACTTTTGCCAAGTTCTTAGGCACCATGCTCACAAAGGGCTTCAAGAATTCTTCAATAATGCCAGATCTTCTGTTGGATGTTGTAGGGAGGTGGGTGTGTGTCTTTTCTCCCAGGTAACTAGTAATAGAACAAGAAGCAAGGGCCTAAAGTTATGCCAGGGGAGGTACGGATTGGATGTCAGGAAGTAATTCTTCACTGAAAGGGTTCTCAGGCACTGGAATGGGCTGCCCAGGGAGGTGGTTGAGTCACCATCCCTGGAGGTGTTTAAAAGACGGGTAGAGGGTAGATGGGGTGCTCGGAGATACGGTTTAGCAGTGGACAGGTATGGTTGGACTTGATGACCTCAGAGGTCTTTTCTATGATTCTATATGCTAATTTATGGTGACTGATGTGAAGTCAGCTAACTGTCATAAAGAATCCATTAAAGAACTGAAAGAATAAATGAAGCTGAATAAATTATTGGAGGATCTGGAGCAAACATCAGAAGAATACCTATCATGAAAAAGACAGGTTCTCATGTTGCTGTCAACCAGTGGGCTCATAAAAAAGAAGAATTTATTAACACTTTGTGTCTGCTCTCTGTTGTCATTTGTCTTCCAGCTTTGCTTCTTGCCTGTATTGTGAAAAGCCCTCCACATCTGACTGATAAAGGCACTCCTCTATTTTCATCAGAAGGGCTGAAATACTACCTGTTGTAGTGGGTGACACTCTGAACTGTCTTGCCAGATATCAATGACAGAGTTGCATACAGCAAGCCTGCACAACAACAAACCTGATCAGTATAAGGGAATATTATCGTTGTTCCTATTACCTGCCTCTGTAGAAAGCTTTGCCCAAGAGCTTCTTTTAACTCCTGCACCCACTAATATCCTGAGACAGATTCAAAGACCTCTAAGCCTATCTCCACAGATGCAACTGTGGCTTATGAGAAAGAATGCACAGTTCTTTAATCATGAGACTTCTAATTTATAGACTCTGCTTCAGGTTCTTTCTCTGTAAATCCTCTTTCCAGTAAGCAATAAATAAGGCCCAATTCTAATTCTTCCCTTAATGTCTTTATTTGTTATACATCAGGAGAAATTTACCAAGATTTTCCATAGAGAAAACAAGAACAGAAGATTAACTCTTTGTAGGTACAATCCTCAGACTGCAACTGTCTGAAAAGCATCTTTCAGGGTAGTGATTAATCAAATCAAGTGGAAAGCAAAAATCTTTAGACATGCAAAAAAGAATTCAGATGCAGAAACAATCTTGCAGAGTAAGCCTTCCCTGAATGTGGGGCACCATTTCCTACCGAGGAATGGCACAGAGCTGGTAGGGAGGTGGCTTCATTGTGCCCCCAAAAACAAACTTTGTATTGACTTCTTTCACTCCTTCTGGCAGGGTGAACGTGAATGCCTGTAACAGGGTGGAAAAGAAAATGAAGAGCTCCATCCTTGCCAAGAGCTCCCCCATACAGACACGGTGCCCTGTAAAAAGACAGAAAAGGCAATCAGCCAAAGGATTTCTATCACACTTCCCTTTCTGACCCCCCTTGGGTTTTTGTTTGTTTGCTTGTTCTCTGCAGACTTTGTCCTTTTCTCTTAACTTTGTCATTTAATGATTCAGAACTGAAAGGCTGCTTGTATTTCCACTGCAAGTTTTACCCCATATTTACAGCAGGAAGCAAGACATTATAGAACTGATGACCAAGGTTGCATAGTTTACATTTACAGTCTTCCTAGCACGATGCATTTTACTGCTAGTATTTTGATAACTGGATCTCTCTTCCAAGAGAAACTGGATCTGTCTTCCAAGAAAAACTTTTCTATGTGTCATTCCTCCTCTTTCAATCTTTTCCACATACAATTGGACTTCTCTCTTCCTGGAGATCTTTAAAACCGTGAAATGTGTTTATATACCTATTTGTAGATGCCTCCCCAGTTATGCTGGGGAATGAATGGATCTTAAGTTGTTAGGGCATGGAGTAAATAAATCCCTGTTCAGTGCACATACCTATTGAAAATGGTAGGAACGCTTCTCTGTTTACAAAGTTTCCATCTTTATCCAGAAAGTGGCCTGGGTTGAACTGATGAGGTGTCTCCCATTTTCCAGGATCAGACAGAACAGAGTCAAGATTTGGTAAAATTATGGTGTTCTGAAAAAAAAACGAACAGCAGTTTCAGTTCTGTCTTATTGTTAATATTCATCAGATAAGCAAATAATGACAAAGCAGCAAAGAATTCAAAGGCCTAATTTAAAATCTCATTTTTTTCAAAAACGAGATCAAGCTTTAAACATTTCATAAGAAGTTTAAAGTTTTGAGCATGTTAAGACATCTTTTCCTTTATTACTTGTTGCCAGTAAATTCAATAAAATAAGTGGTTAGGATTTTATAATGTACATATTGTTAAAATGTGTTGCTTTTATTTTTCCTATTGTCACTAGGTATTTTTATTAATTATTCAGCTTCTGAGTCACAGAATAACATGAGGATCAGTTTAATTTTTCCCTTTGTTACTTAGTAATTTCTGCAACACTACGGTTGCTTTCAGCAAATCCAGAAAAAAGGAATGAAAATGAAACTACATGAGAAGCAGCAATGGGAGAATATTGAGCAACAAGTCCTAACATACTTTTCAGTTACAAAACTTGATAATAATTTAGTTTCATTATGAAATTTGCAAGATACTGCATTGAAAATCTTGTGATATGAAAATAATTTCAAGTTTCCAAGTTTTTCAGTAAAATCTTTTTTCCGGTTTTGGATAGCATCTGTTCACCAGCTGATAAGCCATTTTGACAAGGGACAGACCTGAATTTGCTAGAAATTACTATGTTTATTTCCAGTCACCCTTCACAAGTTTTCTGTCACCAGAAATAATGATCTAAGAACCTACTAATAGTTAGGAAAAGGAAACATTTCCTTGCAAAAGGCCAGCTTTAGAGGCAGTCATAGCCTAGAGGCATGTGAAAGGACATGACCCCAATCAGGAAAACACTCTAAAGCCTTTCTAGATTCATCTAATGTACCAAAGACCTATTGATACCAACAATTCTCAATCACAGTTGCTTTTCAACTAAAAGAGCAATTAAATCTAAAGAAACTAAAAAAGGACAGTGTTTTGGGATTCATTAGCTGAGGTGGCTTCAGTTGTTAAAAAGTTAAGTTAAATCAGTTTTAGAAGCTGTTACAAGCGTACCAGACAACAGATGTTCAAATATGCAGCATATTTTTACCTTTGGAATAGGAAATCCCAGCACCTCTGTGTCCTTTATGCTCTGTCTAGGAAGTGCAACTAAGACTATATTACTGTATCGCAGGATCTCGTGAATTACAGCGTTGGTATAGGGCAGCTTTTTTCTGTCCTCGTAGCAAACTAAATGGGAACAACCTAGAACAGCATCCAGCTCCTTCTGGACTTTCTCTAAGGAGGAATAGTCAGTTTTAAACATACAATAAATGATCTGTAAACTCTATAGTCATAATTTTTCCTATTGCTTTTTACAGTAAGAATAACAATCAACAAGATGAAAGAGATATTTTATAAAATAAGAATGCCTTCAAATTCCCATACAGATGACCTGAATAAAATTTTACGCTGAAGTTGTTCATAGGTTGCCTACCCAGGTAATACCTTAAAATAATAGTAGTGGACAAAGTTGTTCTATGAGAATATTTAGGTTCCTGTTATATTTATTGCTCTGAGGTGATTATTATAAAAATACTTTTATTAATATTTATTTTCACAGACAGGGAATCAACTGGAAAATGAAATACTAATCATGTATTAGGAGACCAGTTTAGTAACTGATCAAGGATTGTTCTTCATCCAGAACCACACATATTTTGCTTGTCATCTACAGATGGCCTAATTGCTATTCTGTAACTACCTGCCTTGGGAAACACTTACATAAATTAATTTTTCTCAAAGACTTTGTTGTTGTTGTTTACAATCTGAGCTGAAATGGTAATTTCTGATTAATTTCTGAGCTGAAATGGTCTGATTAATACTACAGCCTTTATCATTGTAATTAGATTGACCCTATGCCTCAGGAAACTGAAGCCTGTTTTAATATATCCTGAGAGGGTGAAAGATCGAGTTGTGAAAATTGAGTATGTGCAATCCAGTCTCAAATTTTAGGTTTTTTGAAGAGCTGTTAGGTGAAAACAATGGGAGATCCTTTCTCCTTACTGCTTACACCATTTTCTTCTTGCTAGCTTCCTGCTGTGCCTGGTACCCAGCTTAGACTCTCACATATGAGACCTTCGAACCAATTTGTATATTTTTTAATCCTTTCTATCCTGTACACTCTGACTCTTCCTTTTCACTTATTTTACTCTGCCAATCTATACCTTCCTTCAGTGAATATCATTATTAAAAGCATACCGTTTCAAGCTACTCGCCCTAATCTTTTTTATATGCATTTATATGTAGATATCTATGTTTGAAGTTTTAAGCTTCATGGAATAACCACATATATTAGCAGCCTCCCACTGTACTGAAATTATTTCTGCTGCAAAGAAGCCAGAGGCACATCAGAGCAGCAGTCATGGGTTGAAAAGGATGACCTGAAGACTCCACCTTGTTCTCAGTGGAAGTCTAAACATTATTGTGAGTGGAAGGGCAACAGTATAATTTATCTCCTCTGAGACTGGAGTCCTCCACCTGATTAGATGAATCACATGCTAGATTCTTCTATATCTCTTAAAAACAGAACCTAAAATTACTGTCCTGTATGTTAAAAAGGATACAACAAGAAACAGATACATGCAGTTCACCTGATTCATACCCTCATAATTAATTCCTCTACTATTCTTTGAACAAGCTCTACTATTTAAACATGTATAATTTCTAAAAAGTTGCAGAACTGTTTGGGTGTTCTTACCTTGAACATCAGGATAAACCAACATAAAAAGCAATGCCCAACGCATAATGGTGGTTGTAGTTTCTGTACCTCCTAGAAAGAGGTCAAAACTACTCTGCATCAAGTTTTCTTCATCATAAGTAGCATCAGCATGTCCTTTAGTCTGTAGATATGAATTTGAAATATCAAGTTATGGCACACAAAAAAGTAGTAAGCCACCTTACCTCACAGGAATATTTACTAATACTATGCAAAATGGAAAAAAAAAAAGAGCTAGAAAATAAAACTTTCTGAATAATATGAAGACATTTTCTACTATTCTCCAATACATTTCTCAGTTTATCCTATCCACATACACATTTGGTTCTCCCACCATGCCAAAGTTATTAATTGTACATACTTTCTACTCCTGCTGCAAATCCCACCATAATAGTAATTTCTAGTTGTACCTTAACCATATGTAGATCTCTTATTATTGTGGTTATAGATAATCTACCTGTAAATCTACTTATATTATTACTTCATCCTCCTCCTGCAATCTCTTAGTGTCAGCTTTCTTTAATTCATCTACCTATAAACATTTCTATGGAGAAATTGTATAATTCTAAATTTATATTGGACATCATTACAACCAAAGGAGCATTTAAAATCCCTTCTTGTTAATGGAATGTTAGAAGAATTCAGAGATACTCACTTTATCTATCTCATCCAAATAGTAATCAATAAAATCTTGGTTTTCATTTGGTTTTCCTTTTTCTTTGTGGCTTTCAAGTTCCTTTGCTAGTAAAGCGTTCACAAAATCTATGCTGGACTTAGTCTCTTTAAACGGTGCTAGGAAACGGCTTGTAAGCCAGGGAAACATTTCATACATCTGTAAAAGAGATATTTTAGATACATGGTATTACTGACATTAGCAAACTAAATTTGAATCCCAATACAGGCTTTTAGGTAGTGGAAAAAGCAAAAGAAAGACACTTATGACTGCCTCTTCACCGTCACACTGAAGGGATAGCGCCTATCCCATGATTCATTAAAGCCTTTCTTAATCCCATTTTTCCCTAGAACAGAATTTCTTTTAGTTTTATGCTATAAATTTTCAGTTGTGATGTACAAAGAATAAATGAAATTCCTCTGTACCCCAATTCTTTGCTAGGCTGAACTTCAGTAGCAAGGACCTCATATAAAACATGCTCCTGTACTCAGTTTATCCAACATATGTATCGTTTCTATCTCATCCCTAAAAAAAAACCAGATCCAGGCTGACTTCCTTGACACATCTGCTAACTGTAAATAGAATTATCCAAACCCAGGTTTATTTTTTCTACTGTAGGATACCAAATACATGGGGATTTTACTCAGATACACTTTCTCATAGATAAGAAGCAAATACATCTCATCTGTGTGATATGTAAAACAACTTGATGAAGTAGAAATACTGAGCCATGTGGATTCCCTACTGTTTATTCAATGTTCCAAACCTATTCACATTCTTGCACTTATACCATTATAAAACCACATCTCAGCAGAAAAGAAAAAAAAAATAACACTTTTTACATTAATTCTATTCTTCTGCTTCATTTCCCTTTCTTTTTTTTCCCCTTTATACAGATTGCACCATATCTTTCTAGTCTACAAGATTAATGCAGCTTAAATTATGCATTGGGAAATAACTCTTGGGCTCACTTACTTAAATGGCAGCTGCATTACAAAGATTTGTCTTCCCACAAACCTATTCAGATTTCCCAGTTTGTATTTTTCTTTTGTCCTAGTGCAAAATTTACCTTAAAACTACCTGTCCACTTATCAGGAAAACAGATTAGTAGAGACCATTATTAAAGGGTTATACAGCATTGTGGAAAGCAGGACAGAATGAAATATTGGACTAGAATAGTCTTGTTAGCTGTGGACCCCTACTGAGAGTAGTTTGGAAATGTCTGATCCTGTGTTTACCCTGATTAGAAGATAGTTTAGGAATTGTTCCATCTGCACCTTCTGGGAGAAAAAAAATCATATGTAGGTTTTTGGTTTTGTTTTTTTGTGGGGCTTTTTGTTGTTGGTTTTTTTGTTTTGAACGAAAAGTATCAAATTAGTCCTCAAATTCTCTATAACCTTGATTAAAGTAGTTTCCAGTTAGTAAGAGATGGTGAAAATCATGCAAGATACAAAACCAGATGAGTTCCAGCAAGTTCTGCAGAAGCAGGGTACCTTGTACATTGGTAAATTGACTTTTTGACTATATGCAGTATTGTGTTTCCCATTCGTAAATGGTTAATGATAAAACTGCCTTTGTTTGAGGCAATCTCTTCCACTGTTTTTGCAGCTGCAATCACAGCTTCACACAGAAGGAGCTGCTGTCTTGAATGGAGACAAATATCATGCAGCAGCTAACGGAGACTGACTTCCAGCATGTATTACTGAATTTTCCTGAGGACATGCGGACGTGGTACAGGTGTTGCTGCCAAAAACTATGGGAAAAAGTTACCATTAGGCAATTTCATTATATGTTACCTTTGCACAAAACAGTTGCTGTACTTAAATTTCATGAAGTTAGTTAACAGAGGTGAAGGAAGTAGTGAAGACCCATATTGCTCTTTATATTTGTTGACAGTTGTATGATTTCATATGGTGAAGAAAGCCATTTTGTCAGACAGAATTTAAGATAAGCCCATTTCAGAGTTTTTCGGATATTTTAACCTGTATTTTACTACGGAGTTGCAGTTACAGTGTCAAACACTGGAGTTGTACAGGTAGCACTTCTGAAAGACAGTCCTTGTACATCCCCCAAACATGCAGCAAGCCTCTATGTTTCCATCCCTATCCACCAAGCACGGGAAAATTCTGTGCTATGATAAAGCATAGGCAATTGAAACAAGTTTTGAACTAGGCATCTGGAAGTACTGTTCTGGTGCATATTCCAGCAATTCCAGGTGCACCAGTATTTATTTTTGTTATAAAAGTTACAAGCAAGTTGCCTTTTCCATTGCTTTATCTATATAAAGTAAACAAACAAACAAAAACATTTTCCTCACGTAAAAAGTGATGCTGTTCCCAAATGCTAATATATTTTCAACAGATTCAATCAAGCGGTGAAAATTTTCATCATCTTTAGAGAAGCGATGTCCAAAAATCACAGAACAAATCACATTTGTGATAGCATGAACAACAGGCATAGTGGGGTCCAGAGGTTTTCCTGTAAACACAGTGAAAAACATTCACCATTAACACTTACTTTTCCTGCTTTTCCCACTAAAAGGGGAGCTGGTAACTTTTCAAACACACTTCTGAGGTTAATTAGATTGCTGGATGGCAAATTGCAATTTATTGGTAAAAGGTATGAGTAAAAAGTAACTTCAGACATCTGAAAAACACTGTTGGTTTAAAAAAAAAGGAAAGGCTGTTAGTGAGAATGGAATTAGTAGTAGTTATAAAAACACCCCAATTTCACAGAACCTTGGCATCAATAGATCTCATGTTTGGCAATAACCAGGGTAGAAAAAATGTCAGCTGAGACATCGTATGAATAAGCAGCAAGAATTGAAAAGAGAAAGACCTTCTATTCTTTGCTCAGATCCTTTACACCTGAATAACTGAGCATACCTCTAAATTCACCCTGTCATTCAGCAGCACAATCTGAACAAACTTCCTCTCTCGCTGAAGAGGAGACCACAAGCCGTGTGAGGGGAGCTTTTTCCACTGCACTTGCCAGAGCAGAGCTATAGGGTTGTGCAGCCTTGGTCAAAGCTTTTACTAGTTCCCGCCTTGTTTTAGTTTTCTGCAGAGGGACATGGGGTGCTGTGACACTTATTTTGTTACTTTTTGCTGTTACCCTGATTCTTTGATCATGAGTAATTTAAAAATGACTAAGAAGTAATGACACCAACGGGGACCGTGGAGTCTGGGGTTTCACATGTAGCACTTCCACAAGGAAATGTCTCATGCAGATCATATGATACAGACCTTTAAGACTCAGCTCTGTGTGTACACTTTAAACCCATTTGTGTAACCAAATAGTTTCAAAAGCTACAGGTGACCCGTTCTTCAGCAAAATCACGGATTGCACAGACTGACCTGCATGTTGAGTCACATACCGTTTGTTTTCTTTAGGTATTCCACCAGGTGACAGGCCTCCTCTTGTAGTCGATACTCCTGGTCTTTTTTCCCTAATCCCATTTTCCTCATTGTTGCAAGTCCAAAACGCCTCTGTTGCTTCCAGAGACGACCATTAGAGAATATAATACCTAAGATCATAATAAACTAATGCTGTGAATGCTTTATAAATTAATGAATTTATACAGTTAATACATCAAAGAAGCTCCTCTTTCATTCTAACTTTTTCAAAATTTTGCCAGCAATCCAGCAGCATTCCTCTTTCCTTTCTTCTTCTAGGGTAGCCATCCATTTCCCATACAGAAACTCTTACAATAGTTATATTCTCCCATAATTTTTCCAGCAAAATAAAAAAAATAAATGTTTATTAAAAATTGTGAAAATATTAACCTTTTTTCCACTGTAAATCAAGGACTTTGAGGGTCTAAATTAGTTTCTAAAACCAGGTTTAGAACACATTAAAAGAATTTGTGAAAATAATAATTACCATTTCCATGAGTCAAATAATGAAAGGAATGGCTTGTTGGCCTTCCAGCAACATCTTCAGCATGAGCAGTCAGACCTTCCTTCACTGCCTGAAACCCTTGCAGGACAACTACAGGAATGTTTGAAATCCACAAGGTGAAGACGTTACCATGATCTTTGGCCATCTGTAGAACAAAGCAGCATCAGAACAGCATGGGTGAGAACATTTAAATCAAACAGGATGAACCAGATCTTTTCCCTTAGCAGATGCCTCAGGGGTGATTAACTTTGAGAAGAGAGCATCAAATCTATTCTTACATGTAATACAGCTTGAAGTCAGGGCTCTATCTAAAGTCTCACTTACTAAACATCAATATGTTCCTAAAATGTCAGACAGCCAACACAGCCAATGCCTATGACATTATTTATCGCATGTTTTACAATTCAAACTCATTGCAGATGAATTCTTACATGTTTGTAAGAAGAAAACATTAGCTCATCAGTTTTAGATGAGCCATCTACAGATACCCCTTTGTGTATGAAGTGTAGCAAAAGCAGCTGAGGATGTGGGTAAAGCAGGGATCACCCTCACCTTTCTAGCCCAGCTGTGAAAGCCTTGTCTCCACAACGCCATGTACACAGACATCACTAGCAGGACAGCCCTGGCTGGAGATCAGGAAAAGTAAAAGGCTGAGGGAAGTGCAACAATGCGTAGATCAAAGTAGCAAGTCTGTGGGGCAGAGTAGGCTGGGAAGAGTGGGGAGTCTCCAAAACATCTCAAGAACTGCATGACTAGAGGAGTACAAAATTTTGCTGCCTGGAAGCAAACAAGAGGGAACAGATAATCATGTTGAGCAAGAATTTTTTAAGAGTTTGCTTGCACATTAGTGTTTAATTTCATTTTTGGAAGGACTAATTCATGGCTTTTGAAACCTTGGGGTGAGTAATACTACTCTTCAGGTTTTGGAGGTCAGAGATAGAAAAAAACACAACAGACATACCCTGGCTATAATTTTATGTTGTGGAGTCATACTACTTTGCCTTGAAATATGCAACTTGAGAGAAGAGAACTGGCAGGACAGGGAAGAGCGAGGGAAAAGGAAGGTTGAGAACAACAATGAGGTGCTATGAATTATAGTATTTATGTATGAGGAATGTAAAACACTAGGATACAAATTCTAGAAGTGCTGTGCATTACAACTGAACTTAGAAAAGAGATTAAGGGTAGGCACACAATGAATAGTTCAGCTACTTAAAAGCTCTGTCAGGCTCAGCAGATTGAAGTCTCTTGTGAAATCCTGATCAAATTGTATGTCAGAAAAAAATTTATTCCAAGATCTTTTGAAAAATCTGTTGAATAAGTATAAAAAAATTTATCCTTTCAATACTGGAAACACATATACACCCAGTAGCTATTTCATGGGATATTTAGAAATTGCCAGTGCAACAACAGTCAACACACAGACATGCAAAAGACTGCAGAATTAAAGACACTGCTTTAAAATCTATCTCTTTCCTGTGTGCAAGACAGGAATATTATAATCAGCATTGTTTTGTTCATATGCACATAATGTGTTAATGACTTCTCTCATAGTAAGCTGGAAATTTTCATACCAAGAAACAGGTATTTTAATGATCCCCACCTAATTTCATATTTATGCAACTTGGAATAAATCCCTCCCGAGCATTCAAAATAAGATTATGTTAAACACACATTTACTTTGCAATAAGCCTATGAGTCCATTAATTAGTTTATGAAAATACATACTTTTTTAAGGAGCTCATGATGCATTTTGAAGTTCATCTGCAGCAGATTTCCAAATATAGGGTATGGAGTTGGTCCAGGAGGAAATCGTCTTCGTATCCATTGCAATTTCAGAAACTGCATAAACAGTAGAGACACCACAAAAACTGACAGTACCACACTTAGGGTTACCATTTCATCTCTGATTTACAAGGCTATGTTGTCTCTGACAAATTGCTATAGACAGAGGATAGATCCACTTTATCTTGCTTTGCTGCTACCTCCCTAAAAACAGAAAAAGATGTTTAAGCTTCTGTGTCTCTCAGTCCTTCCCTTTTTACACTTTCCCATCCCAGAGAATGAAGTGTTCTTATTTTTAAGCATATATTACATCATTCCATCATATTGCAGCTACAAATCTGACAATAATTATCAGCTCTTCAAGGGATACAAAACGTGGGTTAATTATACGCCTTCTTGTGCTGTGTCAGTCACTGTGACCAAAATCCCTGCCCACAATACTGGTTTCGTAAAAAGCCTCTTGCAAGAACACACGCAAGGCCAGTGGGATTACTGAAAAGTTTAGGTTCATCAGTAGCCATCACATGCATCAACCACATACACTCCTCCTTCACTCACCTCCTGTTATTGCTTGATTCTGATGTTCTCTGCTATTCCTTTAATATTTTTCTCCATGGTTTGAATTGTAAGCTCTTTGAGAGCTGGCTAAATCTTTTAATTTTGTGCCTAGAGCATATGAACCAAAGATTATTCTAATCTGTCGTTGGGTAACAAGAGTGTGGTGGTTACAATGGCATAACACGTAAGTGTCTGCACACTCCCTGTTCAGCTGCACAGATAAGCAGGGCTGCAAAGGTCTTCATGGCCAAGTAGAAAGAAAAATTTCATCACCTCCTCCAGCTGCCTCTCAGCTAATTCCCACTGTATTGCCTGCAGCAGGAGTGGAGATAACATACAACCGTCTTTGTATGCAAGCTCTCTCATGCAACTGAGCAACTCCATTTGGGAGCTGTGGTTTGCTTTTCCTTTGTGGAGATAGAGCCTGTGCCGCTGCAAAGGGCATCATTTCGGACAATACAGCTTTGGTGCTTCCTCAACACATGCTCAGGAACAGCACTAGTTTAGACTCAGCTCATCTAGCTTAGACAGGAGCATGTGGTACTCTGGGAAGTCACCTAGATGGCTTAGCTGCTCACATGCCAAGCTCACAGAGCTGGCACAGTTGAAAATAAAAGTTGTGAGGTGTTAAGCAAGTTGGTTCACTCCAGAATTGGGGCAGAGAGCTAATATTCACACAGTCTTGCTGGACAGCAATTGAACCAAGAGCTGAGATTGAACTGAGAAACTGAATTGTCCACTTCAGAGACCACTTGTGTGACTTGTAGTCCCTTCACTCATGGCATTGTCCTTTTCTCTGTCTCAAACCACTACCAACTCTGAATTAAGTATTTTCCAAAGTCTCCTTGGGAGGAGGAAGATTCACACTTGTGACCATGGCAGCTGTTCTGGGATGACACCCCAAACAAAACAACTATGTTCTTCTGGATATTCTCTGTGAGGAGGACAACATGGACAGTGATTTGCTGGGGATTTTTGTCTTGGCAATTGCTCTGGCCCTGGTTGGTTGGCTGGGAGGTGTGCTTAACTTACTGGGATTTTCATTTCGGGAATGTGAGAAAACAGTGTTGTTACTCTCACAAGGTGAACAAACAAGTAACAGATTACAGATAAATCGCTGGGAGAAGGGATCTGAATGTCTTCACAGCCTCTAAGGCTCATCTGCCTTGCCCACTTGCAGCCTCATCTGGCTCCTCCATCCCTTCTAAGCAATCCTGCTGGCTGCTTTGCATCTCCCCTGGCTCTCCAGGCTCACTTTTGCACACATATTAGCCACATTCTGGTGACTGCAATCACAGCCTAGGCATGAACTGCTTGCGTTTAGAAAGGCAGCTGCCAAACAGCTTTGCCACATCTTTGGGAGAAGATGTTAAAGGGGCTACAATTTGCTTTCCTCTTCAAACAAGATAGTGCTGGAGAACAGGGAAGAGGGAAATCTGATGTGTGTATTTGCGACGGTTTCCATGAGTGGGGACTGAAAGTCTGGAGAGGCAGGGGTTAGAGCTGGCTGACAGCTCAGCAGAACAGAAAGGCATCCCTCTTACCAGCGAATCCTCTTCCTTTCCCTCTCCCCAGCAGTGCTGGCCCATTCTCCTCTCCCCACTTCCTTTCAGCTCTCAGAGAAAAAGATCTGTGTGCCTTCTACTTTGGCTTTTGAACTGTAGCACACTGTGGCCTGTGCTCTACCAGCCTCAGGGCAGGGAAGGCTACATTACTTATGTTCCATGCTCCAAATTCAGTTTCAGGAGTAGTTTCCACCTCCCACGCACAAAGCACGTTGCTGCTAGCGCGTTGTCAGGCAAATATTAGTGACAGCTATTCAGAGAGGCAGTTCACTCTCCCAGGCTAATAATAGGGTTCCAGACCGTGTCCCTGACCTCACCTGCCTGCCACTGCACCCTGAGGAGCGATGCTAGGAGAGCACAGTTTTTTAGATACCAACTGAGAGGGATGAAAAGCAATAGCTAAAGAAAAATAGGTCAACAGAAGCAAGCAAACAAAACTTGGCTCTTGAAGAGGGCTAGCACCTCCCATACCTTCTAGGGAGGTAGTTTCGAGTATCCAGGACAGTCCTTGGTGAGAGCAGAGGTCCCTCCCCAGGATCACACCAGACTTCTCCCTCTTCACTCCTCTCACATCAGCTCACCACTGACTGCTTGGGGGTACAGCAGGGGAGCTCTAGAAGCAAAAAGAAACACTCTGTAGGAGCTGCTTTCTCTGAAATCCACCTGCCAAAACTGGGGACAGAAAGGGTCCTGGAACCCAGCAACAGATCCTCAAGTACCTACTTGGTGCCACACAGGGTCTCTGCGCCCAGCAGTAGTACATGTATGGCCAGGGCAAGTCACGGCAGCAGATGTGCTCCTCTCCTCTCCCCCATTTTCTGAGGGAGGGTAGGTATCTTGCCAGAGAGAGGGGAGAGAGGAAGAACATCACTGCAACTGCCCCTGAACTTGGACACTGAACTTCAGGTTGTACTTGTAACCAGCAGCAAGGTTACTGCTGGTAACATCCACGTTCCCAGTCCCTCCACAGACCTGAGGCCAATGTCTTCACCTCACCAGGACCCTCACATGCTTCTCCCTGAAGTCAGGCCCAGAAAAGCAGGCCGTTTGCCCAAGCTGGAGACACACTCCCTTTTCCACAGGGGATGCTGAGGTGGCCATGATGGGAAATGAACAAAAAAGGTTTCACTGGACTAGGTGGAGATTTATTTAATTTTATACAACACTGATCACTCACCTCATCTTGGTGTCACAGTCTTGAGATGGTCAACCTCCATGAACTGTACACAGATGAGTCCTCCTGTGGAGGAGACTTTGGTGGTCTCAAAGCCCAGGGGAGGAATGCATTGTCAGGAGCTCCAAGGCACAAGACAGCCATGAGCTGTAACCTTGCTAAGAAGAGCAGAAATAACAGACAACTAGGGCTGCAACACAGCACAGCACAGCACACACACACACACACACACACGAGAAAATCAAACAGTTACAGTGAAAACTGTCACAAATACCTGCTAACTTCAGATGCCCATTTGAGAGCATAAGGAATCACGCTTTGAGGTATTAAGGTGTTTTGCAGTACTTGAATTCTTCAAAGTAGACTGTCTTACATTGAAGTAGGTTAATTTAAAGCAGTGTGGCATTTTAATTCCATTTCCAGTTAATAGATAGTCAGTATCAATTTAAATGCCTTTAATCCATTCCTGCATTGGTTGATCTTCATTCTCCTCCCAATGAGGTGTTTCAATATTCCAAGGTGGGCGGTTTTTTTTAGCCCCAGCAACTATACAAGAGACTATATGTAAGTGTTTTATTCTTTGAAACTTATTTGGTAGAATTTACTGCCACAACCAAGAGTAAGTGTTTACAACAGTTTTCTTCTCATGTTTCTAGGTTTTCTCCTCAGTATATTTATACTTGAGTTTGATATTTCTAAGAATTGTTTTATCCAACTGCCAACAAATTTTGTAATCCCAATGTATGGAGAGAAGGAGGAAGAACTGAAGGGAATAGAAAATGCCAGAAAGATGCTGCAAGAGGCAAACAAAAATGGAGCTTCATCTAGCTCTATGAATCCCCAACACTGACATCAATATATTTCCCAACAAATGGCAACGAGAATAGAATCAGTTGTTCAACAAACAGCTAGGGATGGGAGGGAGAGGATATAGGTGTCCAACAGCCAAAAGACCAGAAATTATTAATTAAGTCTTCACCTATGTACATGTCATGTTATAGTGCATTGCACTCTAGCTAATTAGCTTGCAAACATACTCAAAGTTGTGCTTCTGATAACTGTGTCCTTTCCTACAAAGACTGTAACCACTTGAAAAAACCCCAACAACTAAAAATCCAGCTGCAACACTGAAGTTACAATCTCTGTTTATGCAAAAGGGTACCAACAAATACTGTCCATCTGCCCTGCATTTGGTTTCATATACAAACAAAATCAAAATATTCAAATTGGTAAATTAATATGTATAATACTAATATTGTAATAATAATATAAGCAATATTGAAATCACAAACTAATCTTCATTAAAGAACATGCTGTTAGCAAAGATACCAGAGTGGGTCAGTCAACCACACAGGAAAACTTAAATCCCTTTCTTGACCAGTTTAAAGTTAATTATAAGGCTTTTTTAAATACTCAGATTTTATGAAAGCCATTCAGTACCTTTCTCATTGTACTTTAATTAAGTTGAGATTGTTTACACTTATCAACTCCTAACACAACGAAATGTTTGAACACAAATTTGCACAGGTCAAGTCAGTGCTTAAAATTTTGCTGACTTAGCTCTATTGGTTTGAGATGTGAAAAACGTTTGCATGCATGCTGATATTGCTGCACTAGTGAAATCCCTTCTGTGGACAGGATCAGTCTACCACAGATTTGTCAGTTGATGCCTTTGGAAGGTGCAGGACCATCCTGTTGGCAGAAAAGCTGTAGCAGAGCACACTGGTCAAGAAGTTGCTCAGGCTGGACAAGGCAGAAGAAGCAGCAGGGTTTGTTACCAGCTCACACAATGGAATCGGGCTACAGTATTGATCTGT